AAGTCAGAGAGAGGCGCAAGACGAGAGAGAGAGAGAGGGAGAGAGAAGGGCGAGAAGCCATAGCCACCACCGGATCGGGATCCGTTGTGTGTGAGTGTGCGGCAGAGGCGCTGGAGACAAACATTCTTGTATATTGATGATAATATTGGAGACGACATCTTCAAGTGTTGATTGTGTCTCGATTTGGCTTCTCACGTGTGAACTCTCATGTGAATGTTCATTGATGTATGCGAGGTTGAGCTTGACGAGTACTTGGCTCATTTCAGTCATAGCTGGAGCCCTTCCACGCAATCGACCAATCGTAAAACCCACGGTCAGCCACAAAACCGTTTTTCGGCGCACTACGCGACACCCCAGACCCAAAAAGTAGTAGTAGGGCAGGTTGAAAATGCAGATGTCTACTCCAATGCCCTCCATTCTTGACCTGGTATGTTCCAAAAAAAGATCCATAGACCAGTGATCCTCACTGTGGTACCCACAACTAGCCAAGGACTTCCTGGAGGCATAAGTACAGCATAACCAAAAAAATACAAACATCATCATACTTGCATGCATCAACAGCCAATTTGATTGAAAAGTGTGGTGCTTGCTATGCTTTCTGGGAACCATCTGGGCAGATGAAGGCAAGCGAGTTATAAACAAAAAGAAAGATTAAAAAAAGAAAAACAGAAAAAATGGCAGACGGAAGCAATAGGGCAAACTTTGCGAAAGGTAGAGGCCTTCAGAGAAAATGAGGAATTCCAGACCATGTCTGGAAAAGTGTACCCAAAAGAAAACTGGCCATCCTATGGAAAGGAGAGAGAAAGTAGGGGCAAGGGTGGGAAAGACAGATTGGGGGAGGATGGGTAAGAAAGGCACTCAGCAAAAAAAGAAGGGATAAAAATTTTGGGGGGCAGATTGGAAGGTAGGTGAGAAGAAGGAATTTGTGGAAAGGGGAAAAGTGGGGAAAAGTAAGGGATGCAGCATAAGACCTGAACTAAAAAGCTGAGATTAATTGTGTAAAGAACAAAAGGTCCTCTAACAAAAAAAAAAAAAAAAAAAAAAAGAGGTCCTAAACGAAAGGGAAGGAGAAACAATCTGAAGGGAGAGGAAAAGTGGAAAAGCAGTTCAGTGACAGAGACGAGGCAGGCAAGAAATAAAATAGTGAAGGAAGTGACATTAAGATCCTCGATAGCAAGAATCAAGGAACCTACATCCTAACACTAGCACCTCAAAGATTGATTGTGAAGAGCCCAAATTGCTATTAAACCACCGGTACTTGGCCCATACATCGGCCGCAGACCCTTGTTGTATGCGCGCCGCAACTTTCGGGCCCTGGGTACCACAGCAAAATGGCTGGAGATGCCAGTCAAAAGAAAGTTGCGCCGAGTCGTTTTTCTTTGGAGCACACTGCGCAGCACATTTCCAGCATCGGAGAAAATTGCCTCAGAAGTACTGGCGGTTTTTAAAATGATATTATAATAAAGCAGGGAGAGTCTGCGGGACGCTAGCAAAGGAATGACAAACACATGCCTTTAGCAACAATGGTGTGCTCTCCGAAAGTCAACTAGCCACCAAATTCAAAAGGAAGCGCAATCAGGCACAGGGAAAGGCAAAAGAGTGCAGTCTACATACGCATGGCACAAAAGCACCACATCATCTATGAGTAGACTGCATCTGTACACAGACTGTCTGTACACTCCCATGCATGCTGTCGCCAGAGTTGTGGCGAAACACAATAGGCATAGACTCTCTCAGAGAGAAAGGACGAGCGAGAATAACCATGAAACACTCACACACTCTCACTCAGACACTCTGTGACCCGTCTGCAAGAGTGGCTCCAAGCAGTCGTGAGTGACAATCCTTGCAATCTCTCTCTCTCTCTCTCCTGTCTCTTATACACATCTAGATGTGTATAAGAGACAGCTCTCTCTCTCTCTCTCTCTCTCTCTCTCTCTCTCTCTCTCTCTCTCTCTCTCTCTCTCTCACACACACACACACACACACACACACACACACACACACACACACACACATATATGATCTCTGTCTCAGCACTGCTTCTCTGAGCACCTCCCCTGTAATTCTCATTCTTTGCACGCATGTATATTGGATTGACGTCAATTGACGAGGATACAATGTCTTTATTTGGGTATTTTAGTCATAGATCAATACAATGACAATACTTCCACTCTACGGAATACACTCATTTGTGTTGTAGGTCAGTTTCTGTGAGTAGTTTCTCCTTTGGTCGCTGGACAAGCCCGCAGACAACATATTCGACAGCCTGCAACTTTTAACTATTCCGTCAATACACTCACACATTTTTTTGCTTCTTTCTTTCCATCTGTTATTTATTTCCTACACTCCTACCTCCTTTATTCTTGTTGGAACTTGAGTACAAACTTGTGGCCAATTCTAAGCAAAGGGAGGGAAAAACCTGTGGAGTTGAATGAATCCTACAGCAGAAAATGTGTCCGATGACACAGCCTCATTACACATATCATCCCGCATGATGATCCTTTCCACCTGCATTGAGCATAACCAGACCCATACGCAACGTTTATACATATCCCCATACCCGTGTGCTTGATATTGTATCAGACATAACGCAAGATTCTCCTCTGTTGGCAGCTACACCTGAGGCCAGCGGCGCTTGGATTCTGCATCAGAGGACAATTGCTCTGCCCTCTCCCTGCGTACTGTGGATGGGTGTCGCTTGCGTCCTTGCGCATGGGAGGACTGCTCCTCCCTTCTGCGCTTTGACGCAATGTGTTCCGCCTGAGCACTCTGTCGTTTAGCCTCCTGTTTATTTTTCAGAAACTCACCGAAGGACAAAATCTTCGGCCGAGGTCTTAAAGGTTCCGTTGCAGTATCCTCATTCGAGGCATTTTCCGCAGGAACTCCTGCTGGTGCCGAACCAGGGCCCTCCTCTTTTCTGGACTTCTCCCTGCCTAATGGATTGACAACCCCTTCACCGTTTGATGCTTTGGCTTGCATGACCTCTCTTCCCTGTTCTTGACCCCAGTCGGCAGCTCCATTTGTCTTCTCCATTGATGTCTCTGCTCCTCCTCTTCCGCTCGATGCGTTTACGACTGATCCTGGCAGTTCACATGAGCCACCCTCTTCTGCTACTTGTCCTTCTCTTGGTTTTCCATGTGTGAGTCCATCATCTGACCCCGTGATCGCTGTTGCTTCTTGCAATCGTGTTATTTTAACTGCTGTCGTTTCCCCTCCTCCTTCGTGTCCTCCCTCTCCCAGCCTTCCTGACGCTCCAGTCTTTGCTACCTCTCCCCCAGCCCCTTTCGCATTGCAATCACCATTGGTTTTTGACTCTATCCCCTCCTTCAATCCCGGCGTCCTTAGTCCCGTTGTTGCTCCTGGCCTCGCCTCCGCTCCTAGTTGTTGTTCGTCTCCCGGTGGTGTAACTTCCTTCTCATGCATCCCTCCTGAAGGTCGTGCTCTTCCTACACCACATGCATTTGCTTTCCCACTATGATTACCATTCATCCCCACTTCTTTCTCCTCCCCAGCAGCTCCTTCTGTAGCTGCGTTCCCCCTTCCCCCATCGGATACCACCGCTGTATGTCCTTGCCCAGTTGGGCAATTGACAGGTGAGCATACACCCGTGAGACGCGGTGTGACACCGACAAGTGCTCCGCACTCCCGAAATCGATCCTGGACCTGAGTGGCTGAGGCTGTAGCAAGCCATCTCACCATGCTTGCCATCTGGGAGTTGTAAACAGGTCTTCCCTTCTTGCCGTACTTCACAAAAAGGTCTTCCTCAAATGCCAATGCCATGATTGTCGCATCTGGTGACTCGCGGTACCCCGACTTTTCATTCTGAACACTCTTCTCCAGCGACATCGTCAGCCTTTGCCTTGCAGTCTCCCGGGAGCTCTCGGTGAGTGCATGACGCATTTCGCCAGCCGGCCTTTTGCAGGCTGCAGAGAAGCGCTCCTCAGCGGCCATGAGCTGCTTCAGTCGCTGATCGATGTTGCTTGCCCTACCAACTGCCGCCTGCGCTGCACTTGCAGCTTGCTTTTCAACGTCGTCATCAGAGCTCGAGATCGACTCAGCTCCCTCTGCACTGTCCTCACCACTTTCCCAGAACTCGCTCGCTCTTGTGCCATGAAAGACACGGTCCTCTCCAGATTGGATAAACACTCTATCGGTGCCTCCTCGTCCTCGCATCAGTGCTGTGTTACGAAGAGAGTTCACGTCGTTCTCCACGCGACTGGGAAACTTGCAAACGTCGCATGTTTTGTTGCACAACGCAGGAGTGGTTTTCTCGCCAAAATGACCAAGGACTTTCTGCCTTCGGCAACTTACTTCCTCGCAGTATTTCACCATCTCTGAAAATGCATCGACGCCATGCTGCGCAGCTTGTTTATCGCCATGTGACTTCTTCTGTTTGTTTACCTCCTTCCGCAGAATGAACTGCATGGTCCGGCAGTCCTCCAGGCCATAATAAAGAAGGCTACGGGCAGGACTGCCATCACGCCCAGCCCGTCCAGACTCTTGATAGAAACCCTCCAGAGTTTTCGGCACATTGAAGTGACACACAAGACGCACATCAGCTCGGTCAATCCCCATGCCGAATGCTACTGTGGCAATGACAATGTTTACCTTCCCACTTGTCCATTCCGTCAAGGATTTGCTCCGTGAGGCATCCTTCATACCCGCATGATAGACATTGCATGGGACGCCTTCACTTAGGAGGCGACTGGCAATGTCATCGCATGTGTTGCGGGCAAGACAATAGACGATCGCACACTGGCCCGGAAACATCCTCAGCGTACGGACAAGGTCTTTGTATGGGTCCCCCAACAGTTCCTTGTATCTGACTTCATAGAATATGTTCGGACGGTTGAAAGACGACATCAGAACCACAGGTTGATGAAGACGGAGCGAGCGTATGATGTCATCTCGAACTGCCTTGGCCGCGGTGGCTGTCAGTGCCAAGATTGGCACACCAGCTAGCGCGGACCTGAGTGCAGACAACTTCCGATAACTTGGTCTGAAATCATGACCCCACGATGAGATACAATGCGCCTCATCGATTGCAATCAAATTCAGCAACCCCCTTCCATGCATCTTCTGCAGTTTACCCATAAAGCCATCCGTGGAAATGAGCTCTGGGGTGACATAAAGAAGTCGGACGGTTGGTCTTCCTGAATCGATGTCCTCATATATCTTCCTCCGGTCAGAAGCTTCACGTGTGGACGATAGGAACTCGGCGGCTATGTTCTTCTTTTTCAGTGCACTGACCTGATTCTCCATCAGGGCTATCAACGGAGAGACGACCAAAGTAACTCCCAGTTTCACCACAGCAGGCAACTCATAACACAACGACTTTCCCCCTCCCGTTGGCATCAAGCAGAAGCAGTCTCGTCCTGAAAGGACTGCACAGATGGCATCTTCTTGAGGACCCCTGAAGCTGGGATAGCCAAAAACCCGCTTAAGGACATCGCGAAGCTCTGCCGCAGGGACTGGGCAGGCAGAGGAGACGCTACTGGCTTGGCTGTCAGAGCTGCACAGTACTTTCCATCTCTGGTGGGTGCCCCGCCCTGACTGCTCTGCAGCCGGACGTCTGTGAGAAATGCTTCCCTTCATTGTGGCAAAAGGCGAAATTACAGACCTTCAAGCCAGCCTTTCCCGTCCACCCAGACGAATGTGGGTTTCACGGGATGCAACAACGCCCTAAGAGGTCCTACGAGGGAACCGGGGGAGCCATCAGAGAGACGGAGGGGGCAGTTTTCACTCAATCAAATCATCTTTCTGGCAACATGGCTTCTTCGGCAAACAATGACATTTCTCCGCACAAAAGAGATTCCAAGCAAGCGTGCGACGGATTTGTGCAGCTGAGTCAGAAGTTTCGAGACCCGAGTGGCAAACTCCACCACAATCTAAGCAGCAGATTTACAGAGTAGCGCTGAAATGTTGTCATAGCAAAAGAGCAAATGCAACTAGCGTTTTATTAAGTTTTAAAGACTGCTTTTAAGTTTTAACTTTTAAGTCTTAACAACCCAACAAGTTATTCTGTGCACAGCAGCGCAGTCGTAATTACTCAAAACCACAAGTGCGGATAGTCGAACCCACGACGGCCTAGCGCCTGTGGTATGGCCTTCCTGGGACCCCATCTCTCCTCCCCAGCCCCTCACCTTCCAACATCTCTCACATCAACAACGAGAAGGACTCTGCACAGAGAAGCAAAAAACCAAGGAACACAAGGCACCCATAAGAATGGAAGAACTCGATCACGTTACATAGAAAATCAGCATTTGTTTCGTTCAAATTTCAAACACGAAAAATTAAAAAAGTTGAATGCAAATAGACTAAAGACCATTCTAGAGCTCCTTTCCGCCAAGCATAAACTAAACTCTCCCTATATATCGTCAAATATATATATATATATATCGTCACAAACAGAACTGCCCGGTAAAACCGTAGGCAGAGAGAGAGAAGAGGACAACAAACGAG